TGTGAAGTGAGAATCTTGAGAAGTAAGCAGCTTTACTTAGTAAGTTAAAAATACATTTTAGCCATTTTCATAATGTTGGTCACAAAATTTGATTAGTTTGGGCGAATGAAGGTGCTTTTACTGGACATGGTTTTAAAAAATTAGATTCACTTTTGGACCTCTCTGTATATATCTTAGAATTAAAAAGAAAACTATAATTATATTAAAATAATAAATTATCCAGAGATCCAATATTTTAATACAAATTACTAGGCGTTCAATCCTGCCTTAGCTTGGCTTGATATTTATTTATTAAACATGTACTAGTTATCCCCGGCTTATCGAAGTTTTCATACGGACCTTTTACTTTTTTGAAAATATTCATAAGTTTATTATACATAATGAACAATTAAAACCGTGATTTCATTTTCAAATATTTCCAGCCATATGGCGTCTATACTATGCAACAGTCGATCAAATTTTTCATAACTGAATTATTTTGTAACCACAACGCAGGTTAAATTTAAAAAAACACATACATTCTTTACTTTAATATGTTACAATATATTTTACTCTACAGAATGTTCAACAGAACGTTCTAATAAAAACACAGTTTATTTTTCATTCGAGTTGTTACAGTATTTAATATCTCTCCAGCTTAACCCTGTGATTTTCCGTACTTAAATATTCATGAAAGTTCTTTTGAGGACTCACGGAGCGATGAATTTATGATTATATATAACATTCCCGATGTTTCATTACATTTTTGTAATGATAATGTTTGATACTAAATTGTAATGTATTTTAATGTGGTCAAAAGGCGCACACCTACGCAAGTACACCGCGGAGCACAGCTAACATAATACAAAAACACACTAAAGTACTGTTACCTTTTGTGTATTTAATTACAATTATTATCCAATTCTTAATTTTATAGACTTTATTTTGTTCCATTTGGAGTAGACTCTTGGACTGTGGCGCCTGGTAGATAGTACCAGTGACCCCAGAGCTGGTGCTTTCCTGGGTCAACAAATAAGCATCGCAATACAGGGAAGAAATGCTGCTAGCGTTAAAGGTTTTTTTTAAATTTGTTTTAATTATTTTTATTATTATTTTGTAGGTTAACAAAATTGTGAATACAAATTATACGTATGTAGCATGATTAAATAAATAATATTTTTATAGATTTAAAAGATCTTAAATTCGCTATGATAAAATTATGATAATACAAGTATCAAAACTATGTTTTATTACGAGGTAGTGTTGTTTTTAATATGTACGATATTTAAAAAAAAGTTTTTTTTGTTTATTTTTATTCGTTCTGACGAATTAAATGTCTTTAAGAAGTTTAATTCTTAGGTTTAATGTGTATAAATTACCCAGCGTCAGTATTGTTATCTCAGTAAATCCTGACAGATGACAATTCGGGTATTGATGATAGTGCTATTTTTAGAATTATCGAGAGATGGGTAGGGACTATAAGCTTTGTATGTGGCCTTTTCATAACGGGGATATGTCTGGCACACAATATTATATTATATGTATATCTACAAGTATAATAAGTATGTATAACTATGTTCGAGATTGTATATTTTATTAAAATTCGTAATACAAATAAACATTTATTATTGTTTTGCAGTATTTATGTTTTTTTTAGCCTTACTTAGTTATTTTTTAGCATGGGTTGCCTGGATAAGGACGTCCTTTGTACTGTACTGCGCTTTTTGATATATGGCCGTTTGGTTCATTGTTCTCATGTAAGCAAAGGAGTGTTAAGAAAACCGTTGTGTGTTTCTATTAAGGATACGGGACTGTTGACGGTGTTATGTTAATGAAGGTCTTTTTTGTGCTCATTAAATAATGTTTTAACGTCCATTTTTTTATGTTTATTAACGTGTATTATTTGTTTTTTTATTGAATCATAACTATTGTTATTAATTCCTAACCGCTACACGGCTCTGGCTGCTTCTGTTTAGAGCGACACATTCACATTAAAAAATCGAGCTGTGTGTGCCTAGAGATAGGTGTATGTTTATGTTGAGATCAAGAGAGGATATGCCAGCACCGGAGCCACGCCCTGTTTTTGAGCCATCGGTATATATGCATAGCTCAGGGTCGATTGATCACGTTCCTCTTCTCTCATTTGCACATGGTATTTCCTGTTGAGTATGTGTTGATTAACGATCCTATCACATGGTGCGGCTATAAGAGGTTGATACTCTATCGCCCTGTTGAACGAATTTAACGCCTATCATCTTTTTGTAATCATAACAGGCGATCGTTGCTTTGTTTAGTTTGTGTTCTAGGTGTTTAGTTCCAAAGTAGTTTGCTGTCCAAAATTACACCTAAGTACTTCAAGTTTTCCTTTAGTTTTAGTTCAGTGTTGAAGAGTTTTTGCAGTCTGTACAGTCCAAGAACTCTTCGGTTGGTAAATAAGACTAGTTCTGTTTTTGATGGGTTGACAGATATCTCGGCCTCATTGCACCATCTTTCAATCACTCAGAAAGACCTTCTCATAAGATCACATAATGTGCTTTCAAAGCTCCCCGATACTAAGATAGCTATGTCATCGACATACCCTACTGTGTAGAGATTGGTGGCGTTGAGTTCTGTAATGAGCTCGTTAACTACTAGATTCCACAATAGCGGTGAAAGGACACCACCTTGTGGGCAGCCTCTGCTGACAATACCTCGTGGTATCCACGGTGAACTGTATAGCTTGTTGTTTTAACATTTTGTTGATTAATAGATTCATACCTACAAGAATCATAACTAACATCAGGTTAAGTAATACCGCCGCCTTTCAGACTGCCCGAAGATTAGTTTGTTACGGTAACTCAAAATCTTTCGATCCAACATAAAGGTTGTGTTGCTGTATGGTTGCGAAAGGTGTTCGTGAACCGCTGTCTTCGTCAAATCCTTGGAAGATTCTGGCCCGAGAGAATCTCTAAATCTATGGGGGCTGTGTGCCAATTGACAGGAGTATAAAAAGCCGAAAGTGCAGGTGGGTGGGCCATACGCTCCGGAGGGAACCAAGTCACATTGCCAAGCAAGCCCTCGACTGGAATCCTCATGGCAAAAAGTAAAGTACCCTCTGCTCCACCTGGGGTACTTAGGACCTTAAGTCAAATAAGTCATAATGCATAGACAACGTCAATTCATACAATACGTCCTTTACGTTAATTCTTAATGTAAGGCATAAGCAGGACTGTAAGGCATAAGCCTACATTGCGAAGGTGTGATGAATGTTCTTTCGTAGAACGGTAATCATCGGTCCTATCGATATTTTAAGAAGAGCCGAACGAAGGTAGCCGTAAAATTAAAGTATCCTTTTTTTCCATGTAAGTGAAAAAAATAGAATACAAGAACAGAGTGTATTCCCTTTATGTAATTATTATATACACTTTATATTTATTTATTGCAAGAATATGGTACAAATGCTAAGGTGATACAATCATAAATCGTTATGTTAAATATCCTTATTAGTAAATTAGGTCAGAAATTAAATTACTTATTAGGATATATCGTAATATTCCATGATGTCTCAGTGAAGAGACAATGTGTTAAAAAAACTGTAATTTAAACCAAATTAGATCCGATTTTGTTGCTGTTAAGCGTTTTTTGAATTTTAATGGTAACTTTAAATAATTATGATTAGTCTTTATATAATATTATATGGGATAATTTGAAATTTACGAACAATAATTTTCACTTAAAAGGCTAGTAGTATGGTATTTTTTTTTATTTTTGACAAGACTTAAAATCTTACAAGTTTTATATACCTATACAATAGATAAAACTTATAAGATTTAAAGTCTTTCTCTGTAACTAGGGTTGCCTGGAAGAGATCGCTAGCGATAAGACCGCCCATTGTATCCCTTATAATTTTTATGTATTGTGTTATTTGTGTTTCTTTTGTTTTTATTGCAACGAAGTGTAAATAAATAAATATACATATATGTTTTATTATTTACTAGTATTAAATATTTAAGTAAATATTATGTCATGTTATACTTCGCCTTCAAAACTGAAAAACAAAACTTGTTACTAGAAATAGAACAGTCGACAATTGGAACTCAACTTTATCAACAAACGTTCAAGAAGACTTGGCGAAAAGATTCTTTGAGTGTCTCAACAGACTCTTACCTAATAAAACTAAATTACTTTACAGTTGTCGGCAGCTATAAACTTGTTTGAAAAGTTGTTATCGTTCAAAAAATAAAATATTGCTTCATCCAACCATATTGTAATTTAATAGTTTAGTCTTGAGAAAATAGAGGTGGCAAATAAATCGTAGTTTTTGTTTACATCTTAAATCAAAACTTCCTTAGGGTGCGTCCACATCTGGCGAATATGCGGCGAATGTGCAGCTCGCGCTCGCGAGCTGCTCGCGTGCATTTTTGTTCGTGCCCGCGCGCAGTTCGCTCGCAACCTAAGCGCCGTACGCGATCAGCGCGCGGGCGCGGCCGGCGGCGCGCTAGAAGCTCGCGTCTTCCTCACGCCCACGCCGGAAAACGGAACTGAAAGCCGGAGAAAACCCCCTCGCGCAGATCGCGCGCCACCAACGGGTCCAAACGGCTGCGCATTCACCAGATGTGGACGCACCCTTAGACACACCGCAAACCTTAAGAAACAAATGAGGTCAAATTGTAGCCGACGTTTTCAGAGAAAATGCATTTATTTTTCGCCAACACAGTTGCGAAGTTCGTGGGATGTAAAAATGTGTGGAAAAGATGAAGTCTGGAATTATTTACTATAGTGAATAAATAGAGACTTTTTTCTCTGACCTTACCTGTTACAGAAACATAGAATAATCTACAATATTATAATATTTTAGCTACCATTGTTATAGTCACTTTGTCTGACATATGCCTTGAGCTATTGAAGCTTTAACCCGGGAGACAACAGATTGTTACGACCGTTACAGTGGTTTTATCCTTCTTTAGATTTCCCCATAAGATTCGAGACAGTACACGTTTTAGACATTCCGTATGTGATACTTAGGCGCTACGAATCTTACCCTAAATCTTATCATTACGTTCCAACGTATCGTAGACATAAAATTTTAATTTATATTGTGCGTGATAAGCGTCATCAATCACTGAAAAAGGTAAAGTCATTATATAATGATTTGATAAAGTATATGAAGATAAATGCCTCAGTTATGTCTCTTATAGAGGGCAGACACATGTCTATTTTTTGAAAGCTCAACACTTTTTTGATACGAAGAGAAGGAATATTGTGTGTGAAGCGAGAAGTACAGTAGTACACAAAAATAAAGAAGACGCCATATAATTTATCATAAAAACGATTAATAACACGCGTTTTTATGTTTAATAAATGTCCCTCGAGAACCTTTTATATAATTTGATATTTTAGACCTCATAAATGGACCGTTTTAATTTTCCCTTTATAAGCTGATACTCGGCGTGATTAATTGGGTTTGTAAAGTATCTCTGAGCCTGGTAAAATTATTTTAAGTAATTTACCTGTAATGGTATTAAAATATTATTAAATTTTCGTTAAAATATGAAGCTCTGGAAAACATTTCGAGGGCCATTTAAACTTAACAAATAATGATTATCTTTCAAAAAACTAAAAATTGCTTTAATTAGTGACATGTTTGGAAACTAATAACAAATTTGAAAAAGTGCGTGCGTACAAAGTACATATGTCAGAAGTGAAACTTCTTTGTAAATTAATAGTTACTAAGGTAAAAGCCCCAATAGATGATCATGTACCAGTATATGAGCACTCCCTGTATTTGTATATCTATATTCACACTGTTTACACACTGTATACGTGGTAATGAAAATCTGCGTTTACTGCCCAAGACGTTATGCGACAGAATTGCCATCTAAAGTTGTAACTACTAAACGAATAGCGTGTAGCTCTCTCAATCGGTCTCAATCGCTCTCTCGCTTTTCTTCGACAAAAAAGGTTGCAAATAATAATAATAAAATAATATTTCGACGATACGATAATTTTTTTCACTTCAATAAAAATAATCATAAATTTATATTTCTTCGTCGTTGTCCTTATAACAATTTAATTAAAATGTCACGCAGTCGTCAATCAATGTTGTGTTCAAGTGCCAATTTTGACATAGTACCATTGGAAAACTGTAACTCAGTATATAAGAATCTATTAATGGTTCGTAAAACGTTCGTTTTACGAACGCTTCGTTCGTTCGAAGCAAACTGAATGGCAAAAGGGAATTTTTTAATTTGAATTTTTAATTTTTATTGTTTTTGATGTCTTATTTTATTTTTTTTCTTTAAGAATTGTTATTTTGTGTGTTTATGTGTGTGTGTTTTCGTTTGTAATAAATGTTGTCTATGTCTATGTCTCAAAGTGAAAATAATGAGACATAAAATCGCTACAATACTGCTTTGTATCGCTATACCGAAAAGTGTTATCAAAGTAACAGTGATTTACATACGAAATCAAGGTACTTATAATATATTTTTCATTTAGACAACTCATTGCATAAGCACAAGCCTGGCAATTTAAGCTAGCTTTTTTTTTAAATTTCTAGTGAAGCATGGTATCAGCTCGGAATTTTTTCTGCTCGATAATAATGGAGTCTTCTTAAAATCTCTATAATTAGTAACAAATTGTAACGAGCAGTTCCACCTTCCTAAAAATTTAAAATTTCGTGAACCGAATGTTTCACTCTTATTTTATGTCTTTGTCCATTTAGTTTAAGTACTTAGAGGCACTGAGGCATTTAATAGATCGAGTATATTTTGAATTTTTTTCATTGACATCTTTTCAAAAGAAAGTAAGTCAATTAAGCTGAAAATTGTATTATTGTTTTTAGGTGTTTCCTCGAAACAGTATTTTTCTAATAGTCGCATTTATAACTACTACTAGTATTAAAAAAAACTTGATTAGTTACTTAGTTTATGTTACTAAATTATATCTTTATAAATATTAATCTTTGATACAAAATTATTTTAAAACTTACCAAAAGATAGCAAAAGAAGATCGCTTACAGCCAAACTGAATAGATAGTAATTTGTGGCAGTGTGTAACCCGGGGTTGCGTATAATTACCACGCATAAACAAACATTGCCGATCACACCAGTTAAAAATATAACTACAAGCACTATACTGATAGGTATTATTTCTTTTAATGGAAGCCGCCGCGACCCCATAATCCACCATAACAATTCTTCTTCGCTGCAGTCGAAGTTCGACAAATTATTGCAGCGATTATAAAAGTCTTCCACCGTCTCATTTTGTCGAAGAAAGTGGACGTCCATCACTGGATTTTATACATTTAATATTGATATATGTTATTTATTGATGATTCTACTTTACGTAGAATTCATTTTATCGGACGTAAAAGCGTGAGCCACACGTCTTCTTTGGACGCTTTTCCCGCGCGGACTGTTGTCTGAAACTAAAGTCTGAAACGCCATAGTGAAGAGTCCTGTGATTTCTATATTCACCTGAAACATTAATATCTTCCCTGACAGACTAAGCAAGCAAATAAAAAACTCATCTAAACTTATGAAAATCTTGGATTATATATGAATTGTAGCTCTGAGTTTGATTAAGTACCTATTACACGCAATCTGCCTTTAATATTTGTTAAAAAATCGTACTGTAGTATTGCAAGCGTGTGATAGTTGCTAACAGAGCTGTTCATTATTTTATGGACTACACTTATAATTTTAAATGAAAATCATATCCGATTAACGCGTTTGACGCGCTATATGAAAAATTGTTTTTTTTTTTTAATTTTTGAATTATACATAGGCTGTACTAAAAGTATCGGGAATGGAATAATACCACTGTTCCTGTCATATTTAAATCTTTTTAATTAAAACTCCTTTTTTTTTAAATCGAATACTATTTATTTTATTTAAAAAGATTCTCGGTCTTTTCACAAAGTTTTGTCAAACTTGTTTAGTCGTTGAGAAAATGGAATTGACTCGAGAAAATTCAAGAGCGATGATTTATTATGACTTTCGAAGTGGTTTATCACAAAAACAGTGTGTTGACCGGATGATTTCTGCATTTGGTGATGAAGCCCCATCCAAAACCACAATTTATCCCTGGTTTGCTGAATTTCAACGTGGACGTGTCAAGCTCAGTGATGATCCCCGTCAAGGTCGTCCAAAAACTGCAGTCACCCAAGAAAACGTTGATGCTGTGCGTAAGCTGATTGAGATCGACATGTGACATAGCGCGAAATTCAGGCAACTTTAGACATTGGCATGAGTCAAATACAAATAATCTTGCATGAACAATTAGGTGTAAAAAAGTTGTTTTCCCGATGGATACCGCATTCGCTCTGTGAAGAGCAAAAAGCGGTTTGCGTTACTTGGTGCGTCAGAACTCTCGAAAGATTCCACGCAGGATCCTCAAATGCTGTATACAACATCGTATCAGGTGACGAATCCTGGATATACGCGTTCGAACCCGAAACAAAAAACCAGTCACGAGTTTGGGTGTTCGAAAATGAGTTAAAGCCAACGAAAATTGTTCGTTCACGGAGTGTTGCAAAAAAAATGATGGCCACGTTTGTCTCCAAAACCGGCCATGTTGCGACTATTCCTCTTGAGGGACAAAGAACGGTTAATGCAGAATGGTATGCTAGCATTTGTTTGCCACAGGTCGTTTCTGAACTCCGTAAAGAGAACTGCAACCGCCGCATCATCCTCCATCACGACAATGCGAGTTCTCACACCGCGCACAGAACAAAAGAGTTTTTAGAGCAAGAAAACATAGAATTATTAGACCATCCGCCGTACAGCCCCGACCTAAGCCCTAATGATTTCTATACTTTCCCTAAAATAAAGAATAAATTGCGTGGTCAGAGATTTTCATCATCTGAAGAAGCTGTTTTGTAAGCTGGACGCCTACAAAACGGCCATTTTGGAGACCCCAACTTCCGAATGGAATGGTTGCTTCAATGATTGGTTCCATCGTATGAAAAATGTGTCAAATTTCGCGGAGAATACTTCGAAAAGCAATAAATACATTTTTAAATAGTAATGTTGTGTCACTTCCTTGATTCCCGAAATTTTCAGTGCCGCCCTCGTATAATAGCAGTATAAATAAATAATATAGATAAAATCTAAGTGTTCTTTAAGATTATACCTTTTAAAGTAAGAATTATTAAGAGCATATGCAATTAATTTAATCGTAATTGGATAGCAGAATTGATGAACTATTCAACTTAGTTGCCAGCCACCTAAGGCAATAATTAGATGTTAGGGTTTAATTAGATAAAGTCATGTTTAGTTGCCACAAATTATAATAAATAATTTTTATTATTTTTTTCTGTAGGTAATTACAAAAAATAACTAAGAATAATGATGTCAATTATTCAATCAATACACTCGTATATGAAAATAAAAAATATGTATATTATCCATTAATTAATAGTTTCGTCGGCCAGGCCTGGATCTTATAAAAAAAATGTGGTTATTCATTATAAGTACACATCCATTACAATATGTATGATTTGGGAAGCCTTTTCAGTAAAAAAATCCTATGCTATTTGTGATGAAGGTAAATATCCTGAGGAAGCCTGTCACGCCCGTATGTCAAATCCAAAATAAGTTTTGACCTACGGAAGGTATACCTAACGCTAAGGGTCTGTTTCACAATGTACGGATAAGTTCCAAATTAGCTATTTATTACTTACTGGTAGCGTTTCACGACTGTCAGAAAGCGCTATTCGTCACATAAAGTACATCATAATCATTGATATACAAAAAACCCAAGATGCACAGTCCAAATAATTTAAGTAACGCTCCAAAGCTATTTTGTTACTTTATCCACTATTTCTGTCCATAACAGTATATGTTACAAGCATATATTACTTGCAAAATACAGCCCTACGCGAATTGCTGTAACTCAGTTGTCGAACTAACACAGCGAGTGTTACTTATTAAACAATAAACTACAAGCTCCCACCTTTTCAGAAGGTCAAATCATAAAATGACTGCGTCACGAACATGACTTTCAGAGCAACTATCGCCAATGCGAAATACCGACTTGGGTGAGTTAGCGAAAAGTGGTCAAGTGACAGAAACAAAGGGCTGTTGGACTTGTAAAATCGAGCAAGTAAATTTATAATAATACATAACATTAATCCGGTTAAAAAGTTTTTTTTTTAAAAAAAAAAAATATTTTTGTTTCCCCCCCCCCCCCCCCCCTTTTCCCGAAAATAAATTTTTTTTCCCAACCCCCCCCAAAAAAAAAAACACAAAAAAAAAATTTAAAAAAAAAAAAAAAAAAAACACCCCCCCCCCCCCCCCCCCCCCCCCCCCTGCCAAAGGGGGCCCCCCCCCCAAAAGGGGGGCCCCCCCCCTCGGGGGGGGTTTTGGGGGGGGGGGGGGGCCGGGGGGGGGTTTTTTTTTTCTTTACCCCATATTTCCCCCCCCGGGGGGGCCCCCCCCAAACCCCCCCCCCCAAAAAAATTTGTTTCCCCGGTTTTTTTTTTTTTCCCCCCCCCCCCCCCCCCCCCCCCCCCCCCCCCCCCCCCCCCCCCCCCCCCCCCCCCCCCCCCCCCCCCCCCCCCCCCCCCCCCCCCCCCCCCCCCCCCCCCCCAACCCCCCCCCCCCCCCCCCCCCCCCCCCCCCCCCCCCCCAAAACCCCCCCCCCCCCCCCCCCCCCCCCCCCCCCCCCCCCCCCCCCCCCCCCCCCCCCCCCCCGGCCCCCCCCCCCCCCCCCCCCCCCCCCCCCCCCCCCCCGGGGGGGGGGGAAAAGGCTGCGTGACACAGATGCATAAAGGGTTCAAGCGCGATTCAATTATTAATTAATATTGGATATATTACTTATATTTCTATAATAGGTTTAAACTGAATTTTATTTCAATGCGAAACAATTATTATTGTTTCTGGAAGTGAAGTGAGTTGAGTCGCCACGTTAAAAAAATTGCTACAGAAACAAACTTGTACCTAATTACCAGTACGTACATAACGTCTGAGGGTAGAAATATTGCCCAATAACTTCCGAATTTTCTCTCGCCTTTCAGTCGAAATGGCAGCTTGCCTAAGTTCGCGGTAGGTGTAACATAAAAAATTGTCCTAGGACCAGTTATTAGTCTCCATACACACACTAACTCATTCACTAACATGCACCCACACACTCACTCATGCACACACACACAAAAACAAAATAATAAAAAAAATAATAAAATTATAAATTTTTATGGAATTTTACTATTAAGTTTGTTATGGAAGAGCTGGGAACCCTGACACCGGTATTTCTTTAATTACAAGGGTTCCCCATTAATTTTACACATTATAATGCATTGTTGTCAAATGAATAAAACACATTTTTATTTTATACGATAAAACTTAAAAATATCAAAACAACGGTATAATATTGTTTCTGAAATACTCGTACCTACTTCAGAAAAAAAGGGTCTCAATTTATACAGTGGTAATTTTCAAACGATATATTTGATTATAACAGGACGTTTATGGGGTAATGTAATAAGATATTTTTTTTAAATTTTTATATTTACGACTGTTACTGTTTAGCTTTACTTAGCAGAATTATTAGGTGTTTACATGAACGAGACTTATTATTATTACGAGGTTCGAAAAAGCAAGTTATCCAAGAACATCCCTTAATACAGGCGTGACTTTTATGAATTTAAAAAATGTTGTCACATCTAAAGTCTACACTCTGCACTTTAATATATTCAGTTAATCTTCTCGGCTTATTTCAGCACAGCTTTAAGTTTCACCCTGGAATCTGTGGTATTCAGTTAACGAAGTTAACAAAGTTGGTCTCATCTTTGTGTGATTTTGCATTGTGGTCATTTTTTTTATATCCTTTATGTACCTATTGAGTATTATGAGAGTGAAGTAAAGAAAGGTTTCCCGCACATGGTTCATGTATGTATTAATCAAATCCTACTATAGTTTATTTAACGTAATTTTGAAGATAAACTTACAAACTTATTTTATTCACCATGTATCAAATTAGTCTAATATGTGTTTCATTACTACAAACAAAATTCTACCGATCTTAAATTATCTTTCTTCGTGTTTGCCATATTTGATCCAGAACTACTAATGTGTTTTTTTAGCTTTTTTTATTTAGCCTCTTTTTCTATTAATTAAGAAGTATTATGTTTATATATTCGAACATTTTATTACAAATAACCTAGTGAGATGTATCCACGTCGATTTTACGGAGGTATACCTTCATACAATTACACAAAATTTTCCTAAAGAAAGCAGGGCTGAAGATCTTTCTGAGAAACAAAATGTATGGTATGGAGAGATAAAAT